CCCCCCCCGGATCCTCATAGTACGGATAAGAGCGAATCACGTCGTCCCTGTCGTCACGTTGTGCCGATGATTGCGCTAATGAATTGCAATCGCATTTCGCGCAGCAGTATAAGCGGCCAGTCAGAAAACAATAATTACGACGCGATACGACTCGCGCGTTACGTTTGCCGTTGCGCGAGAGAGAGGCGCAGTCGCGCGTTACTCGAATTCTAACGAATGATTTCGTTTAATTACAGGTAACTTCGCCGGCTACGCGTCAATTAATCTTCCGCTATTGTGTGTACAATTGGCCGTTCTCAATGTGTTCCACTGATAATTTAATAGATAGGTAAGTTTTGAATACGCGATTCGCGTGTAATCGCTAATTATAGCTGAATCAACGCTCGCGGAGCGCGTCTATATCGCGCCGCGCGCGTTGTTACGCCGGGTTTAACGGGAATCNAAAAGGACTCTGTATCCCCTCCCCCCCCCCCTCCTTTTTTATCCATTACCCCTTAGCCTCCTCTTCCTCACACACGGAGAAGTTGCGCTGTCTGCGCGCAACGCTCAGGTAATTTGTTTATTAAAGCTTCCGAGGGAGGATAACGCCTGCACGTTGTTGTAAAAGAAAAATGTTGATCGCCGCGTTCCACGTACGTATGTACGTATAATTGGTCGAGATACACGATACATAGTTCACGTATTTTTTCTGAGCTCCGACCTCAACGGCCGGCACGCGGAATTCCTCCTCCGGCTGCGCTTCAAATGGGTTTGTTGTATTAAAGAGCTTGCCCATTTAAATTGACTATCCGCAATGATTTTCACAGTGGTTAGCGAGGCATTGATCTTTATAAATAAATAATAAATAAATAAATATATAGTATCCGTCGAATGAATGTTCCGTATTTTTTTCCTCGTAGTATATTGTACCTGTACGGATCTTTGAAGAGATCTGTCGCCGCGGAGCAAATTATGCTATAATAATAATAGTATTAAGTTCTGAGGCGTGTATGGAGAGCCGAGTAATTCAGCAACTCCTGATATAATTTATGCGTGTGATTTCAGATTGCTCCGTTCTACCCCGATGAAGATCCGTGTGTGATGGTGTGCGTGCAGAAAATCGTCGGCTGCGCGTCGAACACTCCGCGTGAGGCGTGAAGCGAAAGATTCTCACACGATCAAGGTCGAGCCGGACACGAAAGATCCGCAGTATTGCCTCTCATCTTCGTTGCTTGTTAATAAGGACATTAGTTGTACATTGTAATTACACACACATATATATATATATGCGATACATCACTATTCCGGCGGTAATCGGCGTTTAATCGAAGCGAAATGAAATTAACGAATTGTTAATAATTGATTCGCGTGAAGGGACGACGTGAGAGGAGCTGGCACAGTGGGGCTCCTTTGAACTCCGGGGAACATCGTTTGTGTCAACCCCGTCTTAACTCCTTCTCGCTGGAACTTCTTTGAAAATTTAACCGAGCATTATTTCGTTTTATGAGACTGCCGACTTTCGGTTTTGATTTGGCTCACCGTGAAGTGAATTTTAACTTTCAATTGTAGCTTAATATCATACCCCAATTAGAACGGGAAGCTAAGTTTTCTTACCTGCCAAACTCATTTGCTGAACTCAATTTGTTAAAGCAGCGCGCTTAATTTTTCACCGCTCGCAAGCCGGGGAAGCTAAATATATTCGCGTCGTCACTATACACACATTTTGTTCGCGTTACCGGTTTTCAGTTCTCCGAAGTCAGTCAGGGAAGAGTATTCCGAAGGCTCTCTGTGCGTGCGCGCGATATTGGAATTTCGGTTGTTGCAAATAATATGCAGTTGCAATAATATTGTTGAAACTTTCCAACTTGTTTATACGGGAAACGCACAAACGATCGGCGACTCGAAAGCGGCGAGAGCGCGAGACTAATTCGAAATTATCTTTCGAAGCGCGTTTCGTTGAGACGCTTTGAATGAGGACGACGATTTAAATTGTATTTATTTATTGGACTTGTGTGTAAAAAAAAAAGGAGCGTACGGTCGTATACCTGATTAGCGATAAGCTTGCGGCGAAGTAGCCGAAAATGCGTCTCATCTCATCGGCTGTTTAAGCTCTTTCAAACAGCCGACGATATTTCCGCGCGGCCCTCCTAATAAATCGAGAATCATTTCGCCACAATCGAGATTCGAGAACGCCGGCGACGAGAGAAACGCAATTTCTCGGACCGAGCCAATTAATGGAGCGACGACCCGACGGCCGTTCGAAGGGCGAAAAAGAAGAACGGACGACGACGACCCCACGCGGTTTCTCGTTACTTCACGGAGACACTTCGCGGATGCAATGAACGACGTTGAACGACGTACGATCAGAGTCACAAAGTGCAGCGCATACGAGATAATGATGAGGATGATCGAATGTAACGAACTTTGAGATAGAATGTTTGGCAGGTTGTTCTGAGTAAAAAGTGTCGTATGAACGTAGGTCATGTTCTCGATACTTACGTGATGACAGAAATCTTTGCCGCTATCATAGTAAAATCACATGTTTGATACACTTGAAAAGAAGAAAAGTGATAGAATTAACGAAATCTTGCTTAAAAAAGTTGCAAGGCTCGGTGTCATATTTTCAGCAGCGCGCACATCAAGGAGGCCACTTGTAAATTTGGTATTTATCAAGCGAAATTACGTTCTTTATTTTATCTATTTAAATAACAGATGTTAATTTGAAACAAATCTGAGGTAAACACATTTTATACGCGATTTTATACATAATGTTACAAATACGGAAATATTATTAATTTGTACTTTTCTTATTACCCTTCAATAATTCTCCGTGTTAAAGTGACGCAAAAATTTCAGTGGTGTCTAGCATAAAATTTTTACCGTGTACATACGACTCAGTGGGTTCACACGACACATTTCTTTACTCAGAATGACCTCCCAAACGATCTGTCCAAGTTTGTCATACTCCGAATCGCCTTCAGTTACAGCATTTAATTAATTAATTCACGATCACGGATCTGGTTTCGGTAACCGATAGTTTCCTCCGCGTGTTATGTGGATCGTCACAACGAGCACGGAACGTGCTTTACACCGGTTTTCATTTGTACACACCATCAGAGACATATCTTATGCGAAATGTCTCGTGAAAATATGGCCTCTCTTACCAAAATAACTGTCTCAGAGAAGCAATAACAGCGCGAGTTTCTCGTTATTTTGTCGGTAAACCGAGCGCGCACGCGCTTGCTTGCTCGCTCGTGGAGTCGCCGGCTCGTCGCGGCAAAATTCGACGAAAAGCATTTCGGAAAGCGCGCGACACGAAAAGTATTCGCGTGCATTAGAGAGTATCAAATAGACACGCCCTCGTATTGAGTAAACACACATACGCACATACACACACAGATATTGTAACACATCGCGTATCGCTAATGTTTGCAATCATCGCTTCCGGGGAGAGAGTATAACGTGTTCTTTGAAGATAAATAGAAGTACGGGGCAGGCTTCCACGTCGCACATTCTTACATTCGTACGCTTTCGCGCAACCTGCACAATCTATTCCGACCTAGTATCGCTACGAGATATATATATATATATATACATACACTGTTATATATATATATATATATATATATATATTATAAATGCGCAAACATTTCGTAGAGCCCGCTGCTCCGTGCGGGCGGCCTAAGATGGACTTCGCGGCAGTATCCCATTGTTTAATGGATTGTCATCCTCTTGTCTTTGTCTGATAGGGACAGGATTGATTTTTATTACCGTCACACCGTGTTACTACGTTATCCGAGAGAGAGAGAGAGAGAGAGAGAGAGAGAGAGAGAGAGAGAGAGAGAGAGAGAGAGAGATCCTCATTTTCGACGACATCAGCATCTGTGCGCGAATGCGTGAGCACATAGAGTAAGAAAAGCACAAGAGAAGAAAAGAAAAGAAAAGAAAACGAAACGTTCCCGTCGACGTTCTTCTTCGAGCGATAATACAGTTTTAGAATGTAAAGCGGGGTCTGTAATGAGAATTTAAGCTCTGAGCCTTGAGAAATTGACCAACCGTAGTTCGAATGTGAGGAGAATAATCGGTCTATGATCGGTCGATTTCTTCAGGATTAGAGCTTAAAGCACCTATTGTAGACCGGGAGATTTAGGGAGAAGTTGTTAGACGTGTGACGCACGTCGTTGCACGCATAGCAGGTGTCGCGCGCACGTGCAATTCATCCCCAATAGCGTCCGTCGCAAACGATCGGACCGCGAGAGACATGACGGACTAACACTCGTCTAGTTTTAAAAATCGAATTTACAGGCGATAAGGTACATCTACGTTTTAGCATACAAAAGTATACACACACGGTACTACACAAGGATATCAATTCGCGCGAGTTGTATATAAATCTGTACACTAGAGAGCGAGAGAGAAAGAGAGAGAGAGAGAGATACATGATACATTTCGTTGTGCAGGTGTAATAAAACAAATAAAAACAAGAAAAAAAGAAGAAAAAGAAAAAAAAAGAAAAAAGACTGGGAGAACCCGGTAAGCGGGAAACGCTCAAATCAATTTTCGGAAACATTGATTTCACGCGTATTTCAGAAACATTTCGCGGAAACATTATTTTTAACGTTTCGACTAAATATCGTTAACAATGACGTTGTACGCAACATTAAGACCTACATACTTGAAGGCGTGTTACGTGTTACAAAATATCATTGTAATAACGTTGCATTGATGATTTTTTGCTTACTGGAAAAGAGGTGGTGGGGGGAGAGAGGGGGAGAATTTTTCTGACCAAACTGCGTAGTTACGTACGTCGTAATCGCGTTACTAATTGTAGCGTCACTTGATAATTTAATCGTTTTCACACGGATGCGAGATATGATGAGGGAGGGAGCCCGATGATGGAAACGAGCGAGACCCGAAACTCTAGAGGAAATCGCTTCGAAAGGTAAATCGGTAGCTGCGAGCGTGCGGGTCGTAACTTGCGGAACGCAGCGGTCTGCCTGGAATTCTCCGCGTGGAATTCAGTCCCGACGATAACGTCAGTCGTTCGTCGCAGGAAGCGATATTTCTCGATAATTTCGTGATATCGTTGATATGATTCCGGCCAAGAACGGCCTCACGGGACTTACTTGCGCACTTCCGTAAGTTCAAGAGAGACTTTTCTTCGATGGGAAAAAAATATGTGTACATATTATTCCGGAGCGGCTCTCTCTTTCTCTCTCTCTCTCTCTCTCTCTCTCTCTCTCCCTCCATCTTCCTCTCTCTTTCGTTGGTTTCCTTGTGGCGCCTTCGTACGCGCGTAGGATAAACTCAAATTTGCTTTTCAAATGACAATATCTTAATGTGTTAAGTGGGAGAAAGAAAGAAAAAGAGAGAACGAGAGAGCGAAAGAGAAAGAGAGAGAGAGAGAGAGAGCAACACGTGTGTGCCTCGCGTTGTAAGCTTACGATATATTGTTGTAATATACGCGCGATACTATTCGCTCGGCGCTTATCACGTACTACGTCACTCGAAGGGACTTAAATTCCGATTTTCGTCTTTTTATATAGCTTTGCTCACTCGGAAACTGACCGGGTGCGGGTGTAATTGCACGTCCTACGTCGATTATACGTGTCCATGTTGTACTTTCCGGTCTAACGTATACACATTGTAATTTTATACTAAATAATAGTCTTTACTACCTCTGTAAACACTATTTAGATACATCGAATTCATGTTATACATATATGTATGTATATATTTGTGTGTATATATCGATTAAGGCGCCGTTGGAACAAATTGTTTGATAACTAATACAAGCATAATCAATGTTTTGTGTCTAAATTTGTGTTTGAAGTATACAGTTTCCTACTTCAACATTAATTATTATGTCATCATCATCATCATCATCATTATTATTATTATTATTATTTTGCTATTGAAGTCTTTGGGATACTTTAATCAATCACAAAAAGTAGAAAAAATTAAAAGGATGCAAACGCGGCAAAAAAAAAAAGATTCTAAGGACGATACTCATCAGTCAGAGTGTTTTAAGTTTATTTAGATATGTCGTAGCCAATGAAATAAGCCGTACAGCACTGAATATGAAGGGGTCACAGAATCCTGACAGGAATAAAAAAAAAATTACGAAAATGATGGGAGTGTGGAAAGTTGTAAATGAATAGGACTAAATCAATAGGAGCTAACTTCAGTAGATTATACACATACATGCATATGGGACCTACTTTTGTATTTTTTCATGATTTTCGCGTAGTAGTTTCAATCTCAGACACGGTGTCCGTAACAAATGAAGCTGCAGAAATCAATATGAAAGAGCGACACTCGTTCAATGTTAGAATTAGAATTTCGACGTCTCATGTTTTTGTCGGTAAGAGTCGATAACACAACAAGTGATCAATAATAGGTAATTAAAGTTTCTGGGGGTCGGTAAGTTTGGATTGGTAAATTAATTGGTCGAAAAGTTTTTGGGAGTCGGTAAGTCACCAAAGTCGATAAACTTCAGGGAGGGACGGTAAGTTACCAGGGTCGATAAGTTTCTGGGTGCGGTAAGTTTTTTCATTCTGCATCGCGGAGACAAAGTGAGGTTCCAGGATTTCAATTTTTGAATAGATTCACCTAAGGATGATACTTCATATTTACTCATTACATGTGAAGTACTGTATTCTCGAAGCAATATATGTCAATAGGTTTTATCAGCGTTTGATTACGAAGGTCTGAATACTTTGTGTAATCTCAGAAATCTGAAGTAGCTTGGCATCAAAAATTGTAAAAATATCGATACCACTGGGGCTTAGACGAAATATTAGGAGAGCTTCCGAAGTTATTTGACATCTCAGGCTGTGAAAAAATCACAGAGAAGATTGGAGGCATTGTAGATGTTCAATAGAATGTTCAATCATAGAATGTTCAATCAGAAGAAATTGATTGTTACAAATTGCAACAAATCTGCTGCGTTAGAGGTAACTTGTATGATGTTAGAAGAATGTATGTCTGGCNGAGAGAAATGATAATTGAGAGTCATCTTTAGTAGGATTACAGTTTGTAGTAAATGTTCACATAGAAACATTCACCTCTATTTATAAGTATTACATACTATTTGTGTAATTTCCCACGACACTAAATGGAAGAATTGTACAAAGATACCGAGTAACTAATCTTAAGTTCTTAGTATTGCATTAGCGTAATCATTACGTATATTTAATTATGACGTAATATCGCAATTATACATGTAAATTCACCACGATCTCAGGCAGAACAGTAAGTAAAAATGACANTTTTACATTCATTAACTCGTTTTCATTTTGATATTATTTGGACGTCACTGTTATTTTCCTGTTAAGGAATGTGAAGATCGTGAATGCGGTATGAGAGTATTCAGGAAGCCGAATTTTGTCAATTGAAGAATCGATCACCTCCGTCAGCGAAATCGAATTCACACACATCTATCGTAATCCACGTAGTAAATTATTATCTTTTCGTTAAGTCCGTTTTAGATCAATATAAAGTGCACGGCAGGATTTAGGAAATTATATTTCATACCAACACGGTACTGCAAAAATTATCGACCCGGGATAACGTTCCGGATAATGGTCGATACCCGGTTGTCCGGGCCAGTTACTACCGACATTACCGACTANCTTTTCGTTAAGTCCGTTTTAGATCAATATAAAGTGCACGGCAGGATTTAGGAAATTATATTTCATACCAACACGGTACTGCAAAAATTATCGACCCGGGATAACGTTCCGGATAATGGTCGATACCCGGTTGGCCGGGCCAGTTACTACCGACATTACCGACTGTTTTCTTCTGCGTCATTTTCTTTTAAGATCTCACGAGTAATGTCATATGAATAGATTTCATCGTAGACATTAATATCGATCATCAACACGCATGAGAAAATTCCGTTTATATCGTACAGAATGCAACGTTGTTTCTTAAATTTTACCGCTCTTTTCACTTCGACTCTTCAGATAATAACGCTCCGTTTATCGTACTTCGAGCAGACCCTAGTTGCTTGATATTTTACGTAAATTCAGGAACAGTATGCTAGATTCAACATACCAAAGACATGCAGAGGCGCCATCTGTTGCGGCC